ATTATTATTATTATTATTATTATTATTATTATTATTATTATTATTATTATTACTTTTTGTTGTTTTATCCAAATCTTCTGAGACCGTAAATTTAGTTTTGACGAAAATGCACTTTCGACTGTATCGTTTTCACGCATGCTTAATCTTTTTTCATAGGCTACAAGTGAACCTATTAATTCTGTCACTTGACAAAATGATCTAAATCTTTAGTTCAAGTTGTCGTGATGATAGGATCGTATTTGGCTGATAGAGTAACTAATATTTTTCTAGCACCCTTTTGTAAGTGATATTTTCTCCATATGCTTTAAATTTATCTACTACTTCTCTTAGTCGGGTGTAGTAATCTTTTACGGTCTCAACTTCTTTTATTCTTATACTTTCCAAACCTCTCCTTAGGGTTTGTAGTTTTAAATGGCATACATTGTCACTGCATTGATATTCTTCCTTTAGATTATTCCAAGCCTCATTTGATGTTTGTACTCCACTGATTCTTGGGAATAGAGATTCCATCATAGCCATTTGTAGTGTAAAGAGATCAGAATTGTCTTTCTCCTTCTCTCGGTCGAATTTTTCTTTGTCCGCCGTAAACAAAGTGAATATGTCTTCAGTGTAGTGTACTCGTTTTCGACAATATTCCATAGGTCTTGAGACATAAAGTATGTCTTCATTCTAATGGGCCAATAGCTATAATTTTCTCGAGGAAATAGGTACTAGTAGCTTATGGCTTTTTGGGAAGTGGTCAGTGTAAAAATTTAGTAGGATATTTTGACTATGTGAAAATAAAAGAATAGGAGAATAATTTTCTTTGATACCACTATTGGTATCTAGTATAAGTATTAATTAAGATTTAATTCTTTGTGTTTGGAAACAAAGTAGCTTACATGACCATTATTACGGTTGTTCTGATGCGTTAGACTTATTTAAATTTATGCAACCGACTAACTTTTAGAATATAATATAAGTTTAATTCTAATGACTATCAACTTCAGCCTCCACTTTTGACTTGGTATTTCTCGAATGAGCACCAACATTTCAATAAAATCTCATCACTCTGCAGTACACACACAATCCTTTTCATTTATAATAGTTGAGCTAAAATGGATAGAAAAACATAATATTTTTTTTCATAAATCATGCCATGTACATACCACCCTCTGCTCTGCTCTTATCCACCACCTTCTTTCAGAGAAATATGGAAAAGGGAAAAAAAAAAAAAAAAATTCATCTAGGGATACACCCAAACTCCCCTATTTTGTACAACATACAAAAACTGCGTACGCCTGGAAACGAAAACGATCACGTCTTGTTTTGAGCATAAATTGATGTTTGAACAGAATGTTGAGGGGACAATGCTTTCCCATTCACAAGCACTTGCTCCAGAAAATCAACACGTACCGATCTGAACTGATACGACTGATGGCCGTAAAATAATTAAGGAATTATTCGTTGGCAGGAAGGAAAAAAAAAAAAAGATGTTACACTTTGTCATGTTTTCTTAAACCTACGAAAGAGATACTAACTAAACCCATTACTTACTGGTTGTTTGTAAAATTACTGCATGCATATTTTTAGCTTAATCATAAATTGGAAGGTAATTACTAGCTCGCAGAAGATCGGCGGCATACCTTTTCTTTCCAAGAAAAATCAACATGATGGTAAGAAGGTTCCAATAGAGTGACCTGATCTCCTTCCTTGATCTGGAAAAAAATAAACCGGTAACTGCTTATACAAAATAGTAGGTGAAATCATGCGAAATTCATGTCACAAGGTGACAATTGTCTACTGAGGCTACGTTTTTCCCAGAGAATGCTTACTTACAAGTAGCAATTACCTCGAAAGAGTGTCTCAATATTTCCAAGGGGTAATGCCATGAGGGTAGTGTGAGATTATCCGGAATCATAATGAGACAAACCACAGATTTATGCTCGAAATAAGAACTTAAAAATAAATAAGGGACATATAATCAGCACATTTTAATATATAGTTTCTTGCAGTTGATACACTAAAGGGGGTTGATGATTTAACGTTCTAACTATCTTGATTGGGGCCATATTCTAGATCTTTTTTTGTAGATTAAACCACAGGTCACTTGAAAGCGATAAATCTAAATTTTCAATCAAGGTACACATAAGAAAGTGTCTAAGAAATGAACAAAGAGAACTGTTTGGAGGCCAAAGCATCCAACTTACTGCTTGATTATGTATTCCGTACACGGAAAGAACAAAGCATATCTGGCTCGAATCACACAGCAAATAGTAACTGCGGCACCAAAGCAAGTTAAACAGACAGTTAAAAGGATTTTCACAGGCTTATACACACACAAAGCACCCTTGAAGTAACCCCAGAAAATTCCAACTACTTTCCAAATTACAAATATCCCATCTGACATGACTTAATTTTGAAACAATTGCCCGTGAAGTCCTTAACTGGGAGGTATTGAGGAGATAATTTACATTTGTTAAAGATGATTCAGTTTTGAAACCTCAACGGTGGTTTTGCAACTCTCTTTCGGACAGAAATTTAATTGCCAAAGTGTGATATACTTAACAGGCAACATAAAGTGCTGCATTCAGGATATATGAGATCAAGCAAACTTACAACGGAGCCACATTTTCATGCTTAACAAAAAACATAACTCTTCCGACAATAGCAACTGCTTTGTTGAGGCCATCCAACAAATTATCCACGGTCTCCTTTTTATATGAAGGGTTCACTAGCAGAAAAAAGATAGATGTTTCAACACAGATAATATGCTTTCTTCGAACCAAAACACATTTTAGCATTGTATGCAGATTCTTGATTGCTTACAGTTCACACTAGAAAGAGATGAGGCCAAGGAGGTTAGTCTTTTGAATTTGGCCTGTCCCTGTTTAACAATGACATCACAATAAAATTAATTAGTATCATTGTAGAAGATGACCCATTACAAGTTTTGATTTCATTAAGCAAAAGAAAGCAAATTATTTCCACAGCTGTAGCAACAGGAATGTCTTTGTTAGATTAAAATATTATAAAAATTCACTGTCTCTACATAAAATTAAATCTAAAAAAGTTAGTTACAAGTTCTACAATCTACTTGTGCAATCAATATTGTAGACTTTTTTAGTTTCTTCTGGCAACCTGTTGAATACACTATTACAGGATACATTGTCACCGGGATTTTTACTTGCTGCATTCAGCATATGACCATCCTAGCAAGAACAAGAGGATAGTGACCTCAAATGATTGTTTTAAAGACAAAAACAGCATCTTACTCGTAGTAAACTCTCGATTTTGTCAAGAAGCTGCATAATCTTTTGAACTTCTTCAATGGCATTGAGACCAGGATCCCTTAATGCAGCAGCTTCAAATCCACTCAAGGCTCTCTCATAGTTTTCCAGGTACTTATTCACCTATAATTTTTCACATCAAGTAAAATACAGAATGATTTATTACTGTAGAAAATATAGTCATAGTAAGGACAACAGCTATAGGAAAAGATGGGGGCATGAAGCAGAAACTATAGAACAAAAAGAAAAAATATTACCTAGGCAGCAAAATAATGATTAACCTTAACCAGACAGAAAAGCATAATGAAACAAAGGCTTTCAACGGTTGACATAACTACACTCGTAAAAACAAAAGAACTTTCTGGTGTTCGTATGTAGAAATTTTGTAAATGAACAAAATAGAAAAAAAAGGGCCCTTACAATAGCACAATTGTAATAGAGGTCAGGATTTGACTTCATTCTTTCATCCTTTTCCTGTAAAGTAACAAAAAATGAAATGCTCAGAAAAGCTTGCACTCAGACACCACAGTAGATAAATATTGTAGCTAAAATTTATGGCGAGATCCACACAGCATGTTGGTATGCTTTTAATGATTGCTGTAGCTTTCCATGATCCCAGGCTCCAGTGACAAAGAAAGAAGTGAGACAGGCATTTCCTAGATTATCTGTAACAAAGAGAAAAAATAGTGATTGAGATAAAATCAGGAAATGCGCAATTTAAACTTGATGCAAATAACATGAAATAACTCCTGGAAGTATGTCAGAAGTATGTTTACAGTACAAATATCTGAAAAGATTAATTAGACAAAACAAAATGCTAGGCATGATCTTTGAAACACTTACACCAAGAGTTTCCATCCTTAACATCTAAAGCAATTGCTTCTTTTGCGTGCTTTATGCTGTCATTGACAATTTCTACCTGGTTTTCAGCCCCTGAAAGATGTATACAACGCAAATAAAATAATGTGGGTAATTATCAGAAAAGTTATCATGAGTAGGTTCACTCCCTAAAATATGAGGCATGCTTATTTATCTTGCCTTGAGCCATTCTTCTTTCAAGCATTGATAATTGACAAAGAATCCCTTTATTTGGGCCCTGAAAAATGGATACACCCTGTTAAATGAATACAGAATTAATAAAAGAAGAGAAAAATTCACTATCAATTTCACGGGATTAAGAGAATGACCTTGCTTAAACCTAGTGTAAGACAATTTTTCGCTGAAGCTAAATCACCTTTCTTCCAAATGCAGTTCCCTAAGCTTAACCAAGCATCCGCAAGTGAAGGATTAAGTTTTACCTATAATATAAATGAACATTAAAGGTAAAAAAAAAGAAATAAAGTGAGATAAATCACATAAGCATCAATACATCATACTACGTTGCATCAACTTCTTGACTGCACAAGGTTGATGTCCACTGTCGCTAATTAAACATTTACAGTCGGTCTTTCGGATTTAAGAGAGTCGTAATACCATGAACACTCGAAACTAACAATTTGCTTAGTTACACCTGAATTCTCAAGCATAGAACATATAAATTAAGAACCCATCACTGCATCACATATCACATTCAAGAAAACCCACAACAACTAAAAAAACCCAAAAGCACAAAAAATAAAAGAAATAAAGATAGCCCAATTAAGTTCATTAACTACTACTCACAGCCTTGGAGAGATGATCTTCAGCCTCTTTCTTGTACTCAGGTAAAACATCCAACACTTTTCCTCTCAAATACTCATAAATCGCCCTTTTAGCCGGCGTCTTCCTTTTCTCTACACCATTACGAGGGGAACAAAAAAGAAAGAGGTCGGACATTATTGGATCGGAAAGAGAAAAGCAAAACTAATCTAGGTCAATTGCTACCTGGAGGAACATCATCAAGCAGTTTGAGGGCGATATTTGACTCGACAAGAAGCTTCGAGGTTTTGTCAGCTGGATTTGCAGGAAAAAATGTGTCCCTGGTGGTGTAGAGCGCATTAACAACCTTAGACGCCTCTGCAAACAAATCTGCTGCACTTTCAATAGAATCACTGCTCATTATTTTCGTGGCAACGAGATCAAAAATGGAAGCTCAAGTTCGAGATAAGCACAGACAACAAGAACTTGCTGGGCTTGTGAATGGGGAATTTTTAGAAGTGCCCAAATAATTGATGGGAGAAGAAAACGAAAGAAAATTGCCTCTGTTTTTTCCTTTCTTAATATTACTTTTCCTTCTTCTCTGGGAGGGACGGAGAAGCTATATGGAACTGAGAAAATTGCAAGATTAATATCAAATGATTGGTCGAGTTAATGCCCGAGTGTTGTAATTAGTTATACAAAATTATCAGTTTTGCCATGGAGCCATCGGATGGCTCGGTTTATGGAGCAATCCATACTTAATCATCAATAGTGCATTGACACGTGTCGTACAATAAATACAATTTAGAAAGGTGTCACTATATTAAGTGATGGATGACTCCATAAGAAAACAATCCAATGGCTCCATAGAATTTTTGACAAAATTATATTCCACACCCCATTTGAAATTGAACCTTCACTTTTATTTTTAATTGTACGACATTTGTTGTGAAATATTTATTATAAAATAATATATGTGAATGACTATTTTGCTCTTGATGTAATTGTATTATTACGGTTGTGCCATCAGAAATTTCCTATAAATAGAAGCTTCAGTTATAATAAAAATTGCACCTAAGAGAAATATTTTCCCTTTTATCTCTCTTTCTCTCTAGTTTTATAACATGTTATCAGCACGGGTCTCTACCCTCTAGAGCTCGATTTGTAATATGACGAGAGTATGCTCTACAATTGCGCCTATAAGACGATCTTCTGTATCAGAAATCGAATTATTACAAGACTCCGAGTTCTTGTGATCCTTACCATCCACAACACCTAACAATTTAGATTCGTGAAAATTTTAATTTCTGCATAGTGAATCATTTCATGACCTCAAAGTTTGCATTAAAACAAGCATATTATAATAAAATCAACATGCCACACCAAAGAAAAAGAAACGCCACACACATAATGTCTCCGTCGAAAAAAAAAATCTTTTAATATAGATGTAGAGATAATTACCTTCAGAATTGAGAAAATAAATAAAAAGACTACTGATTATGTTATTCACTCCAGATGCATGGTTATTAGTGAATTCATGAGAGCAAGTGATGGTGCTGTAGATGTTTTTTAAATAAAGATTGTCTAGGAGGATTTAGAGGCATTATATGCCGGTAGAAGATTCGCCGCATGCCATTTATTCATCAGAAAATAAAGGGAAAAGGCCCCTGCCGCTGGAGATGTTTCTGCCGCCGGTGATCACTTTGTGCCGCCGCTTGGAGAATCCCACGAGCGAAATCCAAACCCCGTGCTCGTACAGTTATAGTCGTTGCCGCACAGAGGCACCACCATCATCAGCAAGGTGTATTAGTCGACAAGGCTCACGTCATATATGTCCTGCCCGCTCAACGGTGTATTAGTCGACAAGGCTCACGTCATGGATGTCCTGCCCGCCGACATCGTTGAGCGTGAACTCCATGAGGGTGGCATTATGCATCGCGCCCAGGACGCCGCACTCCAGCTTCCTAGAGCCGAAATCTTTTGTTATGCCGATCACAAGTGTAAGTTCTATGATCTATTTATGAAATTTGCATTTATCACCATAATCAATTATTGGTAATATTAATGTCATGTTGGATGGGGTAGTTGGTATTTGATATACATCATGCGTGAGTTGTATAATATACTCCCTCCGTTTTAATTTGTTTGACGTTTTAGCACAAAAAAAAAAAAACAAATTACTATTTTTAAGGAAAGAATTATCTTATCCTTACAATTAGATTTTTCCAAATCTCTTCAATCTTATTTAATTATTTTATGTAGTTATCGAGAGAAATTTGTATCTATATTTCATTACTTTCTGTTAATATCAGTATTCATATGCCAATATTTTTATATTTCTAGGAGTATTAATTTTCTCTTTCTCATGTCACTTATCAGTATTTTTTAATTTTTCTTCTCCCTCATGGTTAGTTAGAATATTAATCAATTTCTCATTCCCATGAAAATTCCGTACACCCTCCACAGATCTTTCCTAAAAATTTCAAAATTTTGGTGAAATTCTTTCAAAATAAACATGGAGCCAATTTTTGAAGAAAATTATTTTGTTTGGTTTCTTATAAATAGTGAGAATCAAATACTACTAACAACAATGAATTCAAATTTAGAAAATCATGCCAGGAAGTTTTTCTTTTTTCGACTTGAATGTGGCGCCAACGAATTCGGAACCATCAAGCAGTGAGGAGATCGAGGGCATGCCAAATGATTTTTCTTTTTTCGACTTGAATGTGGCGCCAACTAATTCGGAACCATCAAGTGATGAGGGTAATGTACAAGGATGGGACTTTGCAATGAAGAGATCGAGGGTGGTACCTTGTTACTTGATTTGAATGTGGATCCATATCAACATGTTGAAACTCCATTAATAGAATCAGAGGTTAACCAATTGCAAGAAGATGATGAAGACGTTTTAGCAGTGAACTCGGGTAATTACTCATTTACAAAAAACTTGGCTCTTATATTATTTCACTCTTAGAAAGCATAATTCCTTAATGTTTTTTTTAAGAGTCTGAGTTTTTTTTCTTGAATTTCTTTTCTTGGATTTAGAGTCTGAGGTCTTTTTTTGTTATTATTAGCTAGCATTACAGAAACAATTATGTTCTCGTTTGTAAGTTTCTAGTATCTTGTATATTTATATTTACAAATACAATATATAAGAATCATTTAGTTTTAAATTGTTAGAAATAACCCAATTTTAAATGTGCTATGATGTTCATAGGATCACAAGAAAGAAGACAGAAGAAAATCTTGTCTAATGAGCAAAGATTGACAATCTATAATGCTTTGCTATCAAGAAGTGTCAACGGAAAGTTGAAACGAGACACATTAAAAGAGGTCTCTACTTTACTATCCGTGCCTATACGAACAGTTCAACGTATTTGGAAACGAGCAAAAGATACTTCAAATGGAGCATTAGTAGACGTGTCTCACAGAATAACGAAAAATTGTGGACGAAAAGAGAGTGTACATCGATCCTCATCGAGTAGGTGAAATTCCATTGCGCAAGCGAATGCCACTGAGATCGCTTGCATATAGTCTAAAAGTGAGCCCAGCAACATTATGCAGAAATGTGAAAAGAGGTCTTCTTCGCCGCCATTCAAATACCATTAAGCCATATCTCAAAGAAGATAACAAACTAGCCCGTTTACAATTTTGCATATCAATGCTCGAACCACATAGAATTTCTCATGAGTCGAAGTTTATTGGTATGTACAATATCGTGCATATTGATGAAAAATGGTTCTATATAACCAAAAAATATGAAACTTACTATTTACTTCCAGACGAAGAAGAGCCATTGCGCAGTTGTCAAAATAAGAACTTTATTGCGAAGGTAATGTTTCTTGTTGCTATGGCTCGTCCACGATTTGATGATGAAGGAAATGAAGTTTTTTCTGGAAAAATAGGAGTCTTTCCGTTTGTCAACATGCAACCAGCCCAGAGAAAAAGTCGAAATAGAGAAGCTGGAACTTTGGAGCTCAAACCGATTACCTCTGTCACACGAGAGATAGTAAAAATATTTTTGATCGAAAAGGTCATACCAAAAATTCAAGAAGTGTGGCCAAAAGAGGATTTCGAAAAGATCATCTTTATTCAACAGGATAATGCATGATATCATGTTGATCCGACCGATACAGAGTTTCGAATGGCTGGCTTACAAAATGGTTTTGATATTCGATTAATGTGTCAACCATCGAATTCTCTGGATTTAAACATTTTGGATCTTGGATTTTTCAATGCCATTCAAGCTTTACAACATAAGACTCGTCTGAGAACAGTGGAAGAACTTATCCATGCAGTTCAAAAGTCATTTGACGAGTACCCTCCAAGGAAAGTGGATCATATTTTCTTGGGTCTGCAATTATGCATGCAAGAAATAATGAAAGTCGGAGGCTCCAACAAGTATAAGATACCACACATGAATAAAACCGGATTGGAAAAGGAAGGTCGTCTTCCTAAGCAAATTACTTGTGATTTGAGCCTTGTCCAAAGTGTAATGCATATACTAGCATAATATCTGGAGTTGATTTGCAAATGTAATAATGATCAGCCTTTAGCACTCATTTGTTCATGAGTATTGCTCTTTTTTCCTTTGTTATTTTTATATTTGTTGCTCATTTGTTCATATGCTTGAGTATGACTCTGTTTTCATTTGTTATCTTTACATTTGTTCCACTCACTAACCATTTTAAGTGAATCACTGTCTTGAGATCTCAACTATATGTTTCAAAAACACAGTAATCCACAAATTCCGACAGTAAGTCCCATGTTCACGTCTTATTAACCTTATGAATAATGTTTGTAACACAACGTTGGTTCACTCCGGCGAGACTGTTCATATCTCGTTTGTTGTCATCAAAGCTGATCCTCCTTGGATTTATAGCCATGAAGTTGTTGATCTCCAGTATTTTTTTGGTTATGGCTTGTTTTATTTGAACTGTGATTTGTTTCATTATCATTTCTTTAAAATTTCTTTGTATGAATTTCTTTCACATTGACACTTGCTGCTTCACATATTCCACTTGTTTAATGGATGTAAGATATGCTGTTGGGTGTAAGATACTGTCTGAGGTTCACCATTATTTTATTTTCTTTTCTTTCTAGATGCTTCTTTTGTAATTTAATAAATATCATCTCCCTCAATTTCTACATTCAACCATTCTATAGATTATTTCCTTTGGTTGAATTTTTAATTTTACTAATCAGTTCTGCATTTTTATAATTTAGTAAATCCTTACTTAGAAACACAATAGATGTAACACAAAATATGTTGTCTTTTCTTGGATTTGTTCATCTTTGCTTTTCCGTTTGATGGCTGCACTTTCACACATTTAATTTTGTACATTTAATTTTGTACATGAGGTGGTGTTTTGACATATAATCAACAATGTACTAATATTTGGATATAGTTCAAATTTGTAG